TACAAGTGTGCTTGATATAATTGAATGATGGATTGTTATAAGATCTGTAAGAGCCCCCAATAACATGATTTAAAAACATAAACAAAAAGAATTTTCAACTGTGAGCAAGACAGCAATTACGTAACCTTTGATACCTTTTTTTTTTTTCATTACAGATCTTTGCAGGACATTAGCACTTCTTGTTGCTTAAGGTTCTCCTCCCAATTCGAGTCTGGAAATCTTCGCAAAGCCATCCAAGTGCGGGAGTAAGTATTAAAGTCCTCAAGAGGCAGCTCATGCCAGGGAGTGTGTGGGAACGAGAGAGGATGGGGCCTTATGCACCATAAACATCAGCAAATTTGATAAATCATAGCTTTGCTTCGGAAGGAGCCGGTTCCAAGTTTTGACTAGCACATCACTCGGGGATTCACTAGCCGATACCATAGCAAAATGGACTATGAGTGGAGGTGACCTGTTTGGAAAGTCACTTGTCACTTTAGCCAATTCTGCTGCCAGAGCTCAGGAAAGTGGTCACCATGGGTGATAGGGGAGGCAGCAGCAAAGGGAGCCTCACGAGGTGTTGAGAATGTTCTGTATCTTGGTTGTGTGGTTCCTCAAATGCCCCTCTGTAAACAAATCCATAGAGTTGCACACCTAAGAGTTGTGCTCTGGAGGGCATGTAAGTTATGTCTCAATTGACAAGTGGAAAAGAGGAGCAAGCAGTCCTTCATTTCTAGCCCAGTTCTCATTGGTCACTCTGCCGGGGGATATATGTGTGCTCCATGGCTAATCTTTGCATAAAACACCGCTTACGTCATCCTTAAGAGGAGATTCAGTCTCAAAAAGAATATCTTGTCTCAAGAAGCCAATCATTGGCATATTTAGCCCAGATCTGACCACATTTTTTTCTGTGACGTAGCACACATACATTTTTCTGTTTGAATAGAAAGTGCACTGCAGTTTAATTAAAAAATATGCCACAGTTGTGTAACTGGCTTTGATGGAAAAAACTAACAAACAAACAAAAGAAAAAGTTTCACTTTCCAGAACTTGTGTCCAAAATTTGTAACAAAACAAGTGCCTCAACAGAAGATACATGTGTTCTTTTATAGTTATGGAGTACAAATCCCGAATCAGAAAATAAATAGCAGCTGACATCTGAGATCTGTCAGGATGATAATTTTAATTTACTGACCTACTAAGATTCAAGGATTAATTTTACTTTACTGACCTACTAAGATTCAAGGATTAGATCTGTACTCTAGAATCTGCAACTTATAGATGCTGTGTCAGAGGCTAACTTCAAGGTCTTCTTCATAACCATCTAATGGTATATCCGATTTTCCAGGTTTGAGTATGACTTGCTGCTTAATGCGGATGTGAACAGCACCCAGCATCAGCAGTGGTTTTACTTCAAAGTGGGTGGCATGAGAGCTGGTGTCCCTTATCGCTTCAACGTCATCAACTGTGAGAAGCCCAATAGCCAGTTTAACTATGGTAAGAGATTTTAGGGGCGAGGGTCTTCATGGGTAGCATCAGGAATTATGTGTTTGGATTATTCCCTGGAGGGTTTTACCACTGGGTGAAGTTGCAAAGCCTCACTGGTCAACAATTGAAAGCTAATACCACACACAACACGTTGATGCTTTGTGACTTCACAGGCCACCTTGAGCTCTTCAAGGCAGGCAAAGCCTTCTCATTTATTCCTTCTCTCCATCATCGACACCCTGATGTTGCCAATGCATTGTCTCCATTTCCTATCAGAAAACCCCGGAGAATATTTAAATTCTCCAGATT